TATGAAAAAAAGTAATTATGTTTAAAAAAAAATTACCTGCAGGAACCACGGAAGGAGCTCCTCTGTGGCGGTAAGACGGCTGTGCAGATGCCAGGTAAAGAGACAGAGCTTCCAGCAGCAGCTGCCTGTCACGATCACGCTCTCTCTGGTTGGTCTGGGACCTCAAAGAAGGGCGGGCATAAGCACCTGCTGAACCCATGAGAGATCTCTCTACTTCGTCTTGGTACCTATGCTGTGTTAGCAGAGACAGTACATAATACCTGTTATACCAGATGTATACTGTGGCACATTATTATGTGTGTTACACTTATATGCAAAATTTTGTATACACCTGTTCATGAAGTGTGAATCACAGTGTGTGTTTTCATACCTGGAGGTACGCGTATGGGTCCATAGATGCTGTTTGGATGCGCAGTGGGGACTGAGGCGGCTCAACAATCATGTAGTCCACATATTTGCCACTAGGAGAAGCAGACGCTGATTTTGAACTTTGGTGGTGGGAGGAGGGCTGTTTGGACCTGGCGACCAAGAAAGAATCGACTAAATCTGTTATATAAATATACAATTTCTTTCTCTGTCAATTTCAAAATAACTAAAGTGTACTTGCTGAGACAAGGATGAGGTGTTTGGCTTTGAGGGAAGTGTGGTATGAGGAACTCTTTTCAGCTCCTTTGACAAAATATATTGGGTGATGTCATCCTGCCATGACAGCCCTGCACACACAGATGGAAAATACATTTTAAAAAAATAGCTGTTAGTAAAAGTGCAAGACTAAGGTGTGTGTACAGATTACAGAAATACATACAGAAAAAAGGGGCACTGATATCAATGCTCTTTGCTGACATTATGAATGAATAAAGCACTTTTTTGTTTTATTGCAGCTATTTAAAGGCATGTGGGTATTCACTTTAACACTTTTAGCTCTCTATTATGTTCAGTCTCACCTTCTAGCATGAGCTGTTTTAGAACTTCTTGCATCCTCTTCAGAACAGGAACTGACACCTGGTACTGGACCTGGTCCTGCTTAGAGGTTCGACACTGACCAAACAACCCATCTGAAATACACACATGAATACGGATGTAAATATGTAACCCCAAATTTGCCAAGGGCAGCCTCTCGAGTCCTGGTCCAGGATACAACAACTAAGCTGACAGTGATTTCACAATGCAGCAGGAAATCAACAGGTGTAAGTAACAAAATTTTGCTGACTTTTTATGTGGCTGTGTCAGCTGTGTCTCCGGACCCCCGTTGTGCTACACAATCACTGGCATACTGACATGTCTGCTTACAGTTATGACAAAAAGGGCAGAGTGCAACGCTTGAACAGAAGGGAGCAATCATTAACATTTTTCCTCATTCAAAATGTCTGCTGTGTTAAAAAAGGCCCTCAGGAGAAATTCCCCTCATAACAAAGACATTGCCATATTAGAGAAGCTATTATATTTTTTATATCTCAGTAAGCCTCTGAGAATGATCCTGTTATTTCATAAAACATCAAGCGAAGTTCAGTTTTTTGTGCTTTTTGTAATTTAACCATATACATTTCAATACAAATGGTTCCACTAACACTGCTTTGGAGGTTATTTAGTCATAGCTGTAATTCATATGGTGGCCCACACTACACTAGCCCACAGCAGTGAGTCATAGTTTTGAAGTTCAGCCCACACACTTGTCACAATCCTTTTGAAGAGTTCCTGTCGCCATCTGTGTGTGTAAGTGCTTTTGAAAAACTGAAGTCGCTAACTTGCAGGTACCTTCATGGCAACAGAAATATTAATAGCATATTCTCAGGATCACCTGTGGACAGTTTTCTCTCTTTGTTATCATAAACCGCATGCATCATCATGGATCTGCTCTTCAGCGATAAATTACTGGGATCTTAACAAAGTTAGTATTTGCTGCACTTGCACTTAGGTAATCAG